TCTTTAAAGTAACGAGGGCTTGACAGCAGGCAGCCTGGAGAACGGAGGTGGGAGGTCCTGGTGGAAGTCGGATAACTGCCCTATGGCTTCCAGTAACAATGTCCGCCTTCTTAACTTGAGAAGCCCGGTGGAGCACGAACCGCTGGAACCGGCCTCAATATTGCAAGTGCCGCATACGCACATCACACCATCTGAAGAAGCTCAGACACAAATATAAGGGGTAAGTTACTTTTAGAATTTTCCTTGAGTACTAACTTTAGCATACATAATAGGACTAAGAGGAAAACAAAAACGACAATGGTAGACTGAGGAGTTGGGGACTTTACGAAAACGATTTAGGACCCAACTCAACAAAGCAGAAGCTAACCAAAGAATCGAGCAACTGGGATCCATATAAGAACAACCTCAAGGTGCAAAAGAGCGAGCTGAAGAGGGCAATCAGTCTAACCTCATTTCTATTAAAAATCCTGGAAAAGCTGCTAGACGCATACATACGGAACAACTTAGACGCGAATCTATTGTCCCCGGCACAGCATGCGTACTGCAGATCAAGTCGACGGAGACGACTCTGCATTTGTCTGTAAGCTACGTAGAATGATCCCTAGTACTTTATTGCTGACTTTTTGGATATTGAGGGGCCCTTCAATAAAGTCATCTCGCGAACAATCGGTGCTGCGCCGAACGGTCCACAAGGTGGTTGCTTACGCTGACTACTTAGTGGTAGCTGTATCCGAAAAGAACCTACACGCCCTGACCAAAGTAACAATTTTTATCTCATAAGACTCTTGTAGAGCTATATTAAGAATTCTTTAAGAATATTACTCTTATAATTTCAGTCTTGTAGAACATTAAAAGACTCTAATGAGATCTTTATAAGAACAAAAGAGCGCAATTACTAGAGTTATTAATTCTTGTAATGAGAGTTAAGCTCTCATTAAAAGAGTTTTTAAAGCATATAACTCTCATACTAGTTTTGGTATAAGAAAACTCTCAAAAACGATTTATAATAGCGTTACTAGAAAGAGAAAGCAATACATTGTAGAATAAATATATCGGTCTTATTTCGTTCTGTATAAAAAACATATCTATTCCGCTTTTAATAATTATTTTTTAACGAAACTGAAACAAACTGTACATATGTTTACGTATATGATATGTAATCAATAATTTGTATTCAAAAACTTAATATCATAAAATTATATATATGGGAAATTAAAATAATTTTTTTGCCATGATTATAAATCAAGAAGTTGCTGGCATTAAAATTTTATTGATAAAAGTTGATATTGTACATCGAAAAAAGCAACGCCAACTAAAAATAATTAAAATTTAAAAAATTTTTATGCTTATTTTTTAACCCTATAATATCTTACTCGTTTTTTAGCACTTTTCCAAAAATTTTTTGAAAAAAAGTGCTTATTAGTTCTACTCTGTCCATCCGTCCGTCCCAAAACCCTAAAAATGGCCTTTTTTAACTATTTGTTGCAATGAAACCATAAGCATTTTTGAAATTTTGTAAACGCAGAAAGGCAGCGGCTTGCTTCCCCTAGCGCGGTGTACTATAATCAAACTTTAGAAAAATAAAATGGTCGTTAAAATTTACCATTATCTTAAGTCCTTTTTTTTCAAATTTTTGATGTCGTTTTTCTTCTAGACCCCAGATTGTAGAAGTTTGAAATTTTAAGGGCTTGTAGACATTAACAAATAGTTCATTTCGTCAGAAGAAAATTTTTTTCGCAAGAAAAAAACCGCAAGCTTTTTCAAACTTCTATAAACGCAAAAAGTTAACGGTAAATTCCATGACATTAAAAAATATAATTATTTTTCTTAACTCACATAATTAAACCTTAAAATCGAGCATTATGTTTACCCCACTTTATATTAATTTTTGTTTTATTTCAAAGACTGCATATATGCATCATCCTAAATATATGCAATCCTAGAAATAGTTTTGTATATGAATGAAAATAATTTTAATAGTGTGATGGGTATACATAGACTGTATTAAAAACCAGAATTTTCACTTGTTGAGGGTAAAAAAGCTACAATACAAACCATTGGTTTGGCCCAACTTTATTTTTAAGAATTGTTAAGCAAAAAATAAATATAGTAGTGTGCACAAATTCCAACTAAAACTTTTTTATATTTAAATAAAACTACAATTTTGCATTTCATTAACTAATTCAATCTAATAATTTCTGTACAATAAATATTTTTCGAACTTTTTTCCAAAAAAAAAGAATTCTCAGTCTCATTAGGGTTAAAATTTAGATAAGGAAAAATGACAATACTAAAATGGCTGTGCCTAACAACTAGACTTATAAAAAAGTTCTTTTAAGAACAAATTCTATAAGAGTTGACATCTTAGAAAAAATACTTTATGAGAATTAAAATTTTTTATGGCTTGCTGAAAGTAGTTTTGCTATGAGAGTAGCATAATTTTTATACCCGTACGAACAAACGTATGTTCGAAGGGTATACTAAATTTGCCTTACCATTTGTAACGCTAAGAAATAACGGTCTTAGAAATGGACTCGACTCAAGTATATGTTTTTGATCAGCGTCAAATTCTGAATTGATTTAGCTTTGTCCGTCCGTCCGTCCGTCCCAACGATATCTCAAAAACTAATTGAGCTAAGTTCACCAAATTTTCACAAATGATTTATTGTAAAAAGTGCCAGAACCCTATTTAAATTGCACATGATCGGGGTACCGGTTCTAGTAGCTGCTACACAACTTCTAAATTTATTTGGCTATATCTCAAAAACTATAAAAGCTATAAAAGGTATTGAAATTTCACAAGAATGCATATATTAGTAGGGCCAATATGTTTGATAAAAGTCGTTGAAATTGCTTGGCTCCTTCTGGTAGCTGTCGTACAACCTCAAGAGTTATTAGGCTATATCTCAGAAACTATATATGTAAGTAGGGTCGGTGTGCTTGATAAAATTCGTTAGAATTTCTTTTCTCTTTCTGGTAGCTGCCATACAACTTCAATAGTAGTTTGGCACACACAGTATTTTGAAAAACACATAGTACTGAAATTTTGCATAAATTAATATGGTAACTCAAGGTTATAGTCTGTCCCCTAGTCAGTTACGGCATCTTTATTCGCGCACATAGGATAACAAATTCGTACGGGTATCACAGAGTTGACAAGGTCACTTCTATTTTAACTCCCGCACAGACCCTCGAGGTGCTTTTTCATCTACTTCCAGTTGACATTCTGAGGAAACAAATTGCACCTGTCGGCTGTGCGCCCAAAGGTTGCATCAAATTTGCTCGGCGTTCCTGTGAGAAACGCTACAATACTGGAAACCGGCAGCGATGTAGCGCAGAGGGTTGACTCCGTTTTCCTTTCGTCTTCCGACCACTGCAGCGTCCTTCAAGCGGAGGTAGTTGTTATAAACGAGGATATGAAGTTGCTGGCGTGCAATGTGATAACATGCAGGTGCGGCAGAAGGATTGGATGACCAGTCCAATCTTACAAAAGGCCAGTGATGAGATCTCAAAATGAACTAGAAAATGGAATATAAAACTTAACGTGGTGAAATCAGTACACGTGAATTTCACTAATAGGAAAATTGAAAATTAGTTTTCAGTTCGGTTAAATGTTATTTCGTTCCGTTAGTAATAGTTAATTCCGTTCGCAAACATGCGAAGTATTTGGGAATGACATTAGACGCAAAGCTCAGATGGAAGGAGCACATAAAGAAAAAGTGATCTCAACTCGAGGAGGAATACAGGAAGTTTATATGGCTTTTCTCAAGGCGTTCTTCGTTGTCAATATACAATAGTTTTGACTGTCTGGGCTTACGGTATTTAATTATTGGGTTGCGCTACCCAAACTCATATTCAATCTATTCAAAGATTTCAAAATAAGGTATTACGAGACATTGTAAACGCCCCCTGGTATGTCCATAACGCCGATATACGCAAGGATCCATGATCCTAAGTATCACAGATGAAATTAAAAAACAAGCAACCAATCATAAAATGCGTTTATCCTATCATGTCAACATCGAGGCGGTTCGATTGGTTAACAATCAGAACTTTATTTGGAGGCTTAAACGTACGATTACTCTCGAGTTAGTTTGGTATTTTTAATCTGGAACAAAGAGTACTTAGTGCGCTATTGTGCCAGATCAAAAACCGTTAAATAATCAAAAAAGTTGGACCAAAATTAATGATTAGTCGTTTCCGACTAATTTTAAAATTTATTTTGAGGAGAGTGTTTTTTAGTGAATTAAAGTTCCACACTACTGCTTTTCGTCTGCCGGTGACTTTCGAGATTTTTCACCCTTCCTCCCGGTATAAAAAAAATATTCAATAGATATTTGAAATGAAACTTTGGAATTTTACTTACCAATTTCTATTCCCTAATGGTTCCTGTTGTTGTAAAGGATGTGGTGTGCAAGAAGTATAGATTTATTATTATTTTTTCTCGTGCTTCTTCTTTTCTCGCCATAAAAAACTGGATAGAATGTAGAATCGTCAACCTTGGCCCGACCAACTTCTCTTTTTAATTTTTTGTCTATGTTTATGTTTTATATCATTTGTCTGTGTTTAGTATTGTATGCCTCGTGTTCAAGCGCGAAGCCCTGATTATCAGAATAAATTTGGCAACTAAAAAAGACAACTTCTATTGTAATGATTTGACATGATATATAATAAAATTTTACAAAAACAAATAAAATATTGACTTTTTATAAAAACTCTTCTCAATTTAATAAACGACTTAACAAATTTAAATTTTTAGACATGTGACTCATGTTAAGTTTGAAGTTAAGAAGATTTAAATAATATAGAATAAAAATTATATAAAAAACTATGTTTTTCTGGCGGACTAAAAAGAAAATAATTTCCTTCTAGCCTAGTCTGGATTGGATTATATTTATTAGATACGTAAACCGTACAAATATTTCTTCTCAATTCAATTAATATAGTGAAGAAAAAAATAATTTCAGCTAAACGCATAACTTCAAAGAAAAAAATAACCATTGCACGTAAAATTAGAATATTATGTATTTATATGGTTACATACATACATAGTTTACTGAAATTATATGTATTTAAATTTTAAAGAATGCAATTTAAGTATAACATGAATTTAAAAATAGGCAGAAATGTATAAAATAAATTTCGGATTTAGAGGGACCATCTAAAGTCAAGAAGTTATTTCACCAGATTCCATCTCAGTTGAAGAAGATATATTTTCCAGAGAATCATTTAAAACTTCAAAAATATTTTCATAAGAAATAGAATGATAAGCGAGTTTCTGCTTCAAATTTGATCGATTTTTAGATGATTTAGCTACATTTTCTTTGATATCTGAAAAAGTGGTAAAATGCATTTTTGCAAAACTTTTTTCAGGTGTCGTTGCTTGCTTTCGCTTTTTTTTTTTTCGTTTTCTCGGTTTTTTTTTCAATTTATTTTCTATTAATGTTTCTTCATCTGATATCTCAAGTTCATCGCTTGATATATCTTCTTGCATGCGATATTGTTTGGGTAAGTGTGAATCATCCACAGGGAAATAACTTCCTCTTTTAAGTTCATTTTCTTCAAGTTTCATTTCTCCAGTGACTTCTTCATTGCTGAATTTTCCCTTTTGTCGATTGATGCTTTTGGTAATAACCCGCTTTTGATGGTCTAGTTGGGGAAAAAGTTCTCTGGAATTTTCTAAAGCTGTTTTAGCTGCATTCATTTCAGCTTGCTGTATACTATGGCCTGTGGCTTTTGCCAATCTTTTCCCACGAAAATAAACAGCCACCGTGTAAATTCGAGTATTTGTGGGTCCAATACTGTCTATAACTTTATAGATAGGAATATCTGGTTCGCCACCGTCCATGGTACGTAAAGTTAAGCAACACTGCTGTAGCTTTGACTTCGGATCATTCCAATCTTGATTCATAATGAAAACTTGTAAACGAGGAAATAAACAAACTTGACAAAATATTTCACAGTATTCTAATCCTTTATCTACATATAAAGCACCTAAAAAAGCTTCAAGCAAATCAGCTCGATCTTTAGTTTTTAAATCTGCCTTAGGATTGGAATAAACTGCATACTTTGTCATACCCAAATCATCACACACTACGGCTTGGGTTCGGTTATTGACCAAAGATGACCGAAGTAGAGATAGATGTCCTTCATGATGTTCCGGAAAGTGTCTGTATAAATATTCTGAACATATTAATTGCAAAACCGTATCACCTTAAATTATATAAAAAATGAATTTAATTCTTTTTCTGTATTCTTTTTTCTTACCAAGAAATTCTAGTCGTTGATTTGAACCAAGTGTAAGTAGAGTAAATCCAATACTCCTGTCAGTAAATGCTCTGGCAAGTAATCTGATATTTTTAAATCGAATGCCAATGGATTCTTCAAACTGGGTTAAATCCTTAAGTAATTGAGAAGATTGTATCCAATGTCTATCCCCTAACGGTTCCTGTTGTTGTAAAGGATGTGGTGGATAATTTTCCCAAATATCTTTAAGAGGATCACCTTTATATAATGCGTTCGAAAAAACTTGATCAGCAACTGTTATTCCTCCATCTAATAAAAGAGCGCCCATTAGCGCCTCAAAACAATTTGCCATGGCATGTCTTAACTCCAATTCATGACACAAATCAGAGCCATGGGCGTATAGCATATATTCTTCTAAATGCAATTTCTTTGCTAATACAGCCAAATGTTGATTTTGAACTATAGCAGCTCTGTATGTAGCTAGTCCACCTTCTTCTAAGTCAGGAAACATAAAAAATAAATGTATAGAGCTTAAAAATTCAACCACTGCGTCACCCAAAAATTCAAGACGTTCATTATGTGTGATGTTGCTATCAGTCTCACATTCTTTGCCAAATCGTGACATTATGTTAATTAATGTATTTATACCTCTTTTTCTGGTGTTCATATAATGAATCTTACGATCGCCATACTCTGGTTGTCTTATGCCACAATTTGTTAAACTATTTCGAGCGTGATCAGGATTTGTTCCAAAAATTTCTTTAAATGATGGATGGGTTAATGCTAATTGTAAAAGATATCGATTGTTAAATTTATATTCTATAGCATTTTCAAGTAAATTCAATGATTGATGAAACCGAAGATGTCCAGTCAAAACTGGAATAAGCATCGCATGTTGTACTATATCGCACATAATTCCAGTACGATAAAATCCTTTTGAACTTACAGCAACAGTTATGTTGCGCATCATTCGACCTTGAGTACGCATTTCTTGCAATTTATGTTCCTTTAATTCTAGTTTTCTTTTGTCTTCATAAGAGGGTTTTGACATATTTGCTATCAAATGCCGATATTTAACATATTCCCTCCAAGCTTTTTGATATTCTGGATTGCCAGCATAACTTAATTGAGGTGGTCTTATCCCAAAGTGGACAATGGCTGGGTGGAATAGCCCATTTACTTCTTTTATTTCATCAGTTTCTGGTAAATCAGATACATTTCTGTCCAGTTGATCAACTCGAACAGAGGATGGCCTCTTAGTTGGATTGGTGACCACCATTCCTTTAACATAATCTACATAATCTTGCCACTCATGTTGGGGAATGCTATTCATACGTTGCAAATGGCTTAAATCTACTAATGGTCTTGAGGAATCTAACAAATAACGCAAAACTTCAATCATTGACAATACCTCCTTTCCATTATCTTCCAAATCACGAACAAAACGTGGAATAAAATGATACATTGAACAACTTTCTTCTGAATTTTTGGAAGGCTTCAAATTAAAATCTACAAGTTCGAGGAGCTCATGAAAAAGATACTGAACTGAAATCAGAAAATATTCATAATTTTACTATGACAAGAATATATACATTATGTTTTACTTACAGAATGAATCAAGTTCTCTTATAGTAAAATTATCAGGTATTTTTTCTTCGATATATAAAATCGTGTATTCGATATTAAAACGAATAACTTTGCATACAGGCAACTCACCTATGGGAGCGTGCGATAGAAGCGAAAATCCTTCAAATAAAAATTCATGTTGATCATGTTTTATTATAGTTGGAGTTTTACTTAGAAAATTTGTAGGGGGTGAAATAGTTATTCGATAATGATGCAATTTACTGGCATTATTGGAGTTAAGTTTGCATTTTGGGAACCCTGTTTCTCCCGGATATATTCCATGCCTTATACCAACCTTGCGAGATTTAGCTGAGCAACGACATAATGGTCCGTCATTCATCTCTCCTGGCTCATTATGCCATAAATCACGGTGCAAGCGATACTTATGTTGGATTTTTCGTGACAGCTCCTCCATCGAGCAATCCTCTTCTGGTTCAAAATCTTCATCAGACGATTCCGATGAGCATTTTTCCGATTTATGTTTGCATACTTTGTGAACTCGTTTTCGAGGTGGTGGGCTATATGGTTCCAAAGTTGACCGAATTCGTTGTGTTCTATCGACTAACTCATTTTCAAAAAGTTGACATAAAATATCACATTTTGGTGTCGACTCGACTTCATTAGTATTTTTTTTATAATATATTTCAGCAGGAGAAGATCGAATCCAAACCTCTTTATCACAATCTTCACTCGAAAGCTCAATTAATTTTTTTGATAAACACTCTGAAGTTGCACAATATTGACTTCTCCAACTTTTTAACAATCGTTCTCTTTCACTTTCTTCTTCCTTTTCATTTTTGTTACGCCGTGAATTGACGTGAAGTAAACTTTTTCGATCTTTTGATTGTACGCGAGCGCTTTGCTGGCAAATTTTTCGCGCTGAAGATCCAGTTAAAGACGGATTCCAACTGATTTCCTTTTCACTTTTTTTTGCAATGGGAATGAAATTCTCACACGCTAAAGTACTCATATTTGGAATAATTTCTGCTACTTCAATTGAAGGGGGTGGAAATGGGGGAACAAAACCTAAAGAACCAGGGTATGACGCATGTCCAGATGGTGGCGGGGGTTGAGAAAAATCGCCTGGTAGGCAATGAATAGGGGGAGGTGGTCTATCAAATACTGTAGGAATATATGTTGAACCACGATTAGCTTCACAACTGGTGTATGTACTTCTTCCCAACTGCGGTACGCTATAGTTAGATCGATATATTGCTTGGTAACTATAGTTACATCCATAATCGGTTTGATATTGCATGTCATTCGTTGATGATACTTTATTAAAGTTACTGGGCATACGTGGGGGTATAGAGTAGGAATATTGCTGAGGTGTATCTGATTCCTTAGCGCAACATGAAACTGAATTTAATTTATTATATGAAGAGTGACCATGTGGAAAAAAATTCATTTTTTTGTTGAAATTTCACCAATTCATATTTTTGTTTATTAATTAATTTAACGCTCAGTTATATTCCATTTTGTCTACATTTACTTGAAATTATAATGTATGCTTTAAAAATAATAATACAAAATCTCAAGGTTCAAAATCTTAAATTTTGCAGGATATTATTTAAAATACTCTTATTCTAATATATTTTTAGTTAATTAGAAATTCTCTTTCAAATCATCTAACATAGTTGCACTTTTATTGAGAATTGAACGTTTTCCCTAATTTCATAGAAAATGCTACTTTCACTTTGTTGAATAAAAATTAACTCTTTTCTTCTCTGATATTAAGATGAGCATTGCCATTCTTGAAAAATTGTATAAGATGAATTTTCAAAAAGTTTTGGCGTAATTAAGCTAAAATTTGCAATGTTTTGAAATGCGAAGTTTTTAAATAATAGAGACTTTTATATGGTTGTGCGTCGGTGTAAAATAAAATGAAATAAATTGATATAAAAAAAAAAACCCTTTGAAAAGCAACCCTTGTAGCAAATGTATTACAAAGATTTCGAATTGCTTCAAATAAAAACAGAATTAAAAAATTTGATTTAAAAGTTGGGTTACCCAGCATTTACACGTACAAGTTACTTGCAAGAAAGTTGCAATACATACAAAAATTTTACTAACGCATTGAAATATTTTTACTTGCTTGTTTACTTGCCGTTCAACTTGCAAGAAAATTTTGCTGCCAGTAATTTGAGCAAGTAATTTGACATATTGAGAAATTCACAAAAAAAAATTTGTTGTTTTGATTTTTTTTTTTTTTAATTTAAAATTTTTGAATTTTGTTTTGAAAAAATTAAACTTAGCAAACTTATGGTTTCTAAAATTTATAAACAATTATATATATTGCTAGTTGTTTTCTTCTCAAAGACATTTTCAAAAATTAACTTGCTAAACGCCTACGTCATAATAGCAAGTAATTTGACATTTCGAAAAACTAATTGACAATTAATATTATACAAACTTGCTTGCAAATAACTTGTATGTGTAAATGCTGGGTTAAAGCTGTTTGCATATGCTTACAAAAAAGGGATTGCGGGAAACGAATGGCTAATTTTTTAAAATTCTCACAGCCCTTTTTTATTATATTGTTTTATTTTAGGTTTTTAGTATTTATGTTATATATAATTATACTTACTATCTTTGCAAAGATCACACTCGTTGCATTTCGTCTAAAGCCTCTACATTACATGGGGACATTTTCATAAATTTCTTACTTTCTGAACCTGATACAACAAAGACCCAGGATCAACTACAGCTCCACAGTGCTTCCTTGCATTTTGTTTACCGCTGACGCCAAACAATGGTTATAGTTATAAAAATTCACTCTTAGAGTATAGATGGGACCAGTGCTGTATTACAATTTTACTAAAATTGTATTTTACTTCAAATTAATTCAATACTACCAAACTACTGCAAAACTATTTTTAATAATTTTGGCCATTATACTAGAAATGTCATTATTGATATTACAAAACCACTTGTAAAACAAAAATAATTAAAATTTTAACCTTGTTTGAAAAACGTAACCGCGAAAAAAACATGCGATGCTAAAATTTTAATATGAAGTATGAACGCGAAGTTTTGAAAACGGGTGCATTAAAGACATCTTTACATAAGACTTGACAATACCACAGACATCTTTATATAAGACTTGCCAATACACAATTTGCTAATGCATACATACGGTGTATTGAAAATTGATCATCGTACTCTTTGTTAAGAAATATATTTTATACTAGGTATTTTTGAATAAATTAGAAATGTTCACATGGTGATTTGCAATGTTTGTAAAATAAAAAACGATTAAATATAAAAAATATGCAGAAATTATTTTATTTTACTTAAATATTAACAAAATTGAATTTCTTGTTCTTACAAATAGTTACTTATTACAGGTAACAAATTACATTATAATAAATTACAGGTAACAAAATATTTTTCAGTTAAAACCAAAATAATAAATAGATACATAACAAAATTGTTTTTGAAAAAACTGCATGACATATTTGCATATAAAATAAAATTTTTAATCAATATTTCTTAAAACTAGTAATATTTGATGAGAAAAGCAATTCATTTTATGACATAAATGTACGAGTACCTAAGTATTTAACTAAATTCACAAATTTTTTTAATTTTCTTTTATAAGAGATTAAATTACATACTTATTTAAATTGTTAAAATCGTAATATTAGTAAATACCTGATTAAATTATGTTTGCCACAGGCAACAAAATAAAATTTGAAGTTCTTACAAATTAAAAGCACTTCGGTGGTGCAGAACTCCTTTTTCCTAATGCTTGTATCCATTTGTCCCTGATGACTTCGTTCCTTGGCAAAGAAAATGTAGGTATAGCATTTACGTTCTCCTTTTTTCGTAGACTATTGTTTCTGCATCCTTCGACGCCACACTTTCGGGGCATTTCTATTTATATGAAGGTAATCAAATATATTATCATATTTTATTTAATTATGATTACAATTACAACTTTAAAAAGTACACCAAATCTTACTAATTTATTAAGTGATTTTTCTTTTTAAATAAATTTTAGTACTATTTATCAAAATCCACCTTTGTTTCATATGACATTTTACAAATTTGGATAGACGATAACTTGAGAGAGGGTAGAGGTGGAAAAAAATTTCTTCTAACGAAATAAACAATTTACTAGTATCTAAAAACTGCTAAAATTTCAGAACCCTACAACCTGAGGTTAGTAAAATGATAAATGAAAAATTAGTAAAAATGGATTTTAGAAAATTGTGCATTTCAACAGCCATTTTTAAGTTCAAATATAATGTGTCAAAAGTAAAAAAATGGGGTTTTTGTGCTTTCAGGGGCTATAACTTTTAGAGGGGGGAGATATATAAAAATACTCTTGTACGGAAAAAAATTCTAGTATGGATCTATGTATATATGAAAAATATGAAATTTCAGTTTTTTATCTTTAAGGTTATAGAAATTTTGTAAAACATGTCCGGGGACGGACAGAGTGAAACTAATAAGCACTTTTTCTCAAAAATTTTTTAGAAAGGTGCTAAAAACAATCAAAAAACCGAAGAAAAATTATACCTATCGTTTTCAAAGTCAAAAATATCAATATTTTGCTACACGTCTATTTAGTTGGATGACTTACCTTTTATTTTATACTGTTTTTTTTTTAAGGGACCGAGGCCTCTAGGTCTCACTCACGTCGACCAATAGGATATTTTGTGCTTCCCATCCCCCTACATTAGCTCTATTCCTAGGACCCTGACAAACCGCAGTATGGCGGCCACATTAAGCTGCGAGATCCTCCCCGGGGTCACAAATCCTCCGCCGAAGTACCTCAGCTGCAGACGAGCATCCACCTCGCACTCACACAGTAAGTGCCCCATGGTTTCGTCCTGCTCCATTCATAAACGGCAGACTTCTCCCGCCACCCTGCCCATCAATTTTAGGTGGACCCTCGTGAGGCAGTATCCAGTGAGAACCCCCACTAATGTTCTCAAATTTGGCCATACAACTTCAAAAGCTAATTAAAAATATTTGGAAAAATAATAACGTTAGATTCATGAAACTTGGCAGTCGTGAGTTTAATTATATCATTGAAATTTTGGTGGGATGGCTTGACAGGTTCGGGTAGTTGCTATAGGACTAACATTCAGTACTTTATTCCAACTGTCAAATGTTTATTTATGTTTTTTGTTGCGATTTGAGTACATAACTTTTACAACATAGGATATATTTCAAAAACGGAGGTTTGCAAATTTTTGTAGTTTTTGAGTGTTTTTGAAAACTGAAATTTTTTTTTTCAAATATGAATTCATTTCCTTCTTTGAAAAATCAAGAAAATCTCAATGGGTATGAAACAATGGCACCCCCCCCCCCCCCCCCCCCCACCCTCTTCAGTCGTGTTATTCGACCCGTATCCAGTAGACTAGTTGGTAGCCGAGTTAACGAAGACTCCCTGATACCGGGTCACCTCAAGGAGTATTATGACCTTACTGCGTCATGCGGGGTTCTAACGTAACGGACCACCCTTTCCCTAGCTAGTCTTGCGATCAAGAAATGAAGGAAGAGAAAAAAAACAACAACAAAAACAAAACAAAAACAAACAGGAAACTAACTAGGACCGTCGAAATTCGGGAGAACACCGATTTGGCAACACCTGAGGAAGGAGCGGAACAAAGCCGATCGCATAAGAGCAGGCGGAGTTAAGAGGAAAATGGAGACCAACTTCCATCATGACCGCAGTACAGATAAAAAGCCAGAGGATACTCGGAGCAAACTCTCAACATCTGTAGAAACTGGCATTGTAGGGACGCCTCTCGTGCGGGGAGAAAGAGGACCCACTGAAAAGGTAGTCAACAAAAGGGAAAGAACGGTAGGAAACAACCCAACTTACCTGTTTTAGATTACTTTGGAGGCCTGGATGACCCTAAACATCAGGGACTTAACGGAGCCGGTGTCAGATAGTACCTTCGTAACCTAACGGCTGGAGACGTACCTCTATCAGTTCAAGGGGGAAAAGAGGACGAGAATCCTTAATACCCCAAGATGCTCAAGCAAAAAGGAGAAAAAGTGGCTGATGGAACGGGCACCAATGTTGGAGAAATGGGATGCGCCTCCGCTGGTTGCCATAAAGGTAGATGATATCCCGAGAACACATGTCATCACCGTTCTCGTCCCCAGAAGTGCGCGACAGGGTTAAAGTAGAACGCTGGCGATTTTTCAGGTTCAAAGTAAGGGAATTCCCATCAGGATCTGGAAACTTATGGGCCAGCGAGAAGAAAAGGGTGGCCAGGTCTTGAAAATTGTTGTTGACGACGCGTCAGGAATGGCCATCCAGCAGAGCGGTCACCAGTTGGGGAAAATCCCCGTTCACCGTCTCAGAATGGGACAGGGAGAGACGGCAAATTTGATACCGCGGGTGGTTGGTCCGAATAAACCTCTAGACAGTATGAAGCACTTAAGAAGGGGGACCTCCTTCGCTAACAACGATGGATGAAATGGTTGAGGGCCTAGAGCTAATACGGCTTAGTCCGAAATGGTGCGAGTGGAAAATCCCCCTCTCAGCAACCAGAAGCGATGAAGAGCTCCAGGATGGCCCAGGCGAACCTCCAACATGCTAGGGCGGCATCCGTCGTGCTGGGAAGGATGTTCACGAAACAACATCTGGGCGTAGCTATGGCACAAGAACTCTGGGTGTATAGAAGACAAATCAAAGAATTGCGAATTAGAGATGTTCAGGGATTATGGACAGCACCTAGGCAAGGCCTGCATTCTAATAGAAAAAAATATTAATTATGTTTTATTTTCAGAGTACATAACCAGGGATTTCACACCTGCCAAGTACACCAGGCATTAACACTGGAGACAAAGAAATAGAGATGCTACTGGTATCGGCGCACTTTTCGGGAGATGTGCCACTTGCTACACAACCAGA